AGTAGTAACAATGTTTGCTATTAGAAACAAGTGCATCGCTACTAGTAACAAGTGCCTTACTAGTAGTAACAATTTTTGCTTTGAGAAACAAGTGCATCGCTACTAGTAACAAGTGCCTTACTAGTAGTAACAATGATTGCTATTAGAAACAGGTGCATCGCTACTAGTAACACGTGCCTTACTAGTAGTAACAATGTTTGCTGTTAGAAACAAGTGCATCGTTACTAGTAACAAGTGCCTTACTAGTAGTCACAGTGCATCGCTACTAGTAACAAGTGCTTTACTAGTAGTAACAATGTTTGCTATTAGAAACAAGTGCAGCGCTACTAGTAACAAGTGCCCTACTAGTAGTAACAATGTTTGCTATTAGAAATTGTTGTGAGGTGATGAAGCGAATTCAAGCTTGTGGCTCACAGTCTGGTGAAGTGAAAGGACGAAAGAAAGCGCAGCTGTGAAACAAACTGTTGCGCCATCCAGGCTAGCAGACTTGTAAATACGAGCATTCTTGTGATTCTTGTGGACAATTTTTGCCAATATCCGAAAGAAACCATTGTCTTGTAAGAAGAACATGCTATGCAACGTGCTATTGCAGAACTCATGCTTTAAAGTAGCATTCTGACTAGAAGCCCAAAAGGCTTTGAAGGCTCAAAAGGCATTTATTTGTAGCAGTTGAAAGAGAATGGGTCTTCTTTTTGGAGCTCCAAGTCTTCGCAGTCTTAAAAAGACAAGAGAATGTTCTTTTTGCAAGTAGTTATGTAGAGGAGAAAGTGTGCAAATACTTGCAGTAAGACTAGCTGAGTAGCCTACAGAGAGGCCGTACGAGCTGTAAGAGGCTTGGTCAGGAAAACGTCATTGTTATTAGTAGCTTCTTGCTCCTAGTAGCAATGGCCTCCACCTAATAGCGTCCTTGTTACTAGTAGCGGTGGTCTTGGTCCGGAGGATCTGTGGTCATCAAGAGCTGTGGGGAACTGCGAAGTGCTGAAGATGAGCAGAAGTCGCGTGATCGCTTCCGCCGCTCGCGCTCACGCTCCGCCAGTCGCCGGAGACCACGGAAGCTCTCTGACAGAGTCCTTGCCTAGCGAGATTAGTTTTAGATGACAATGACAATGCTACTAAGCTTAAACTTTGAGCCTCAAAAGCGCAACTTGCTTCTGATTTGCGATGCCATTTGTTTTTGATCGAAACAATCCCGCCCACCACATGCAATGCAGACAGAAGGAACACAACGAAAAGGAAAGCAGAATCTGGCTATCGCAGAAAGAATTCTGCGGCACAAGACCGCCAAGGAGCAGGAAGACAAGTGAAGCTGAGCACAAAGACTGCCAGCGGTTTCTCATGCCTTTCCACTCAGCTGCCTTGGAGAACGCACACCAGAGCAGAGCGCGAGAGGGCCCGAGGGTGTACAATTTGGATGAGGCTTGTGGATGAAAAAGATCCTTTCGGATATGCAAATACTTTAGCACTATCAACCTTTCTGGACATGTCACAGTACAGTAGACACATGGTCACATGGTCTGTGCACAAGGCCTCACATCTCGAGATATTTCTTTCACTTAATTCTGAGGCCAGCGTACGGCGAGCTGCTGCATCTGCGTTGGGCTCCATTGGCTGTCAACTCAGGCTGCAAAGACAGTGGTGGCATTCACATCGTCGAATAAACAAGTCATGTGAGTCATGCCCGAAGCCTTGACTCTGGAATTTGTTTCAGCTGATTGGGAAGCGTTCCCAAACATTTGGAAGTGTGAAGATTTGCAAGATGCAATGCCGGTGGCAATCAATAACAACATGTAGATTGATATCCGATATCCAATCAGAGCGACTTTGAGGAATGGTTGACTGAGCGTTTTTGTTCACTGTGTTCATCATGTGTTGATCATCAGTCTCATCATGTCTATTCTTAGGCTCCGCTTCACGTCGTTTTTTCTCGGAGCCTGTGGCTCTTGGCCATGGCGCGGTGGTTTTCGTTTTCGTCGTCCTTTTCTCCCTCCGCCTGTGGCCGGTGTTCTCTATCTGCGCCATGGGTGCCGCCACGGCCGTCTTGGCCACCGTCACCGGCGCCAAGAATCTCCACATTGGCAAAGTCAGCTGCCACAAGTACATGTCTTCACGAGCTGTTCACTCCCACAAGAGGAAACAACATGAAACACACCTTTAATAATTTAAACAGGCACTTTTTTTTTTCTGGATATTCCGCCTTAAAGATGGTGGGGCAATGAAATTTGTATGAGCAACTCAATGACTTTTGTCAGGTCTGATGTCCTCTCAATCTCAGTCTCAACTGGCTCTTTGCCTTCAAGGCCCTCAGCATTGGCCTTTGGCCTGCGGCGGCTTGGAGCCACTGCAACTGCAACAGCTTTGTGCTTGAAGGGTGGAGGCCCTGCTTTTTGATGTCTTTTTCTTTTTTTACATCTTCAATAGTGTTACTGTATTCGATTTGTTTTTGGTTTGGATTGATCAGTAATTAAACTTCATGTCACATGCAGAGAGGAGTTAAGGGCCTGGGGCAGCCTCGATCGTTTGCAGTTGTTTACCTCCAAGCTGTACTTTCAAGGGTTGGACGCTTCAACCTGTATGATGAGAGAAAAATCAGTCTTCCACTCCTGATGTAGATCCAGCTAAGCTCCTTCCTTTTTGAGTTTTGAGCAAGTGCGCCAGGCCAGCGCACGCGCTGTAGCGCGAAAGATGAAAAGCAAGACGGCACCCAGCAAAACCTCCAAGTTCTACAGGGTGAATTTCCAGAAGCCCGGCGAAGCCATGCAAAGCCACAGCTAAGACGCACGTTTGGCATGCGTTGCGGATGATCAGAAGCATCCTATTCTTAAAATAGAGAGCAGTCCCAGGCCTTTTGTCTTGGACCTTTCGTTCCTTCCTTCCTTCCTTCTTTCCTTCTTTTCTTCTTTGCTTTTTTCCTTTTTTCCTTTCTCTTCTTGTCTTGTTTATGCCTTTTCACGGTTTTTCCCTAGCAGCAGCATGCTTTGGGGTCTTCAGCCATAGGTAAAGGTTTTGGAGCAAGCCGGAGCAGCTCCCAAAGACATTCCCCCAGGTTCCCACAAACTTCCCACAAGGTTCCAAGGTTCCCGCCAGATTCCCACAAGGTTCCCAAGGTTCCTGCAAGGTTCCTGCGAGGTTCCTGCAAGGTTCCCAAGCTTCCCACAACTTTGTTCCACAAGGTTCCCCCAAGGTTCCCACAGCTTTCCAACGTTCCTACAAGGTTCCCACAACTTTGTTCCACAACGTTCCCACAACTTTGCCCCACAAGGTTCCCACAAGGTTCCCCCAAGGTTCCCCCAAGGTTCCCAAGGTTCCCACAAGTTTGCTCCAAGGTTCCCACAGCTTTGCTCCAAGGTTGCCCCAAGGTTCCCACAGCTTTGCTCCAATGTTCCCACAAGCTTCCCACAACTTTGCTGCAAGGTTCCCAGAAGCTTCCCACAACTTTG